CCATTAGTCAGGAATTGTAAGTCATAAACAGCCTCACAATTTTAAAGCCATTAAAAAGAATGAGGCCTCTATATCCAAATAAAAGGTTTTGTCTTGTTTTTTTCTTTTTCTTTTTTTTTTTTGTCGGAGTCTCACTCTGTCACCCAGACTGGAGTGCAGTGGCTTGCTCATGGCCACTGCAGCCTTGACCTGCTGGGCTCAGGTGATCCGCTTCAGCCTTCTGAGTATCTAGAACCACAGGCATGTGCCACCACGTCCAGCTCATTTTTTGATTTATTGTAGAGATGAGGTCTTGCCAAGTCGCCCAGGCTGGTCTCAAACTGGTGAGCTCAGGCAATCCTCTTACCTCAGCCTCCCAAAGTGCTGGGACTGTAGGTGTGAGCCACTGCACCTGGCTTTGTTTTGTTTTGTTTTTTTAAATCCAATTGTGTCAGATAGTTTCATGCCCCTGAGGTACTGTATGTATTGTTCCCTTTACCTGTGACACTTGTCCCTGTCCTTGTTTATGAATTCCTCGCCCTTCACAGCTCAGCTTAACTTTCATTTCCTCTGTGAAGTCTACCCTGACTCCCTGAACAGAATTACCTACTCTCCTCCTTGTGCCCTCGCAGCAATGTGGAGCTCTGCCATGCACTTATTTCTGTACTGACTTTACCTAGATGTTGGCCTTGTCCACTGGACTCCAGGAGGGCAAACACCGTGGCTTGTTATTTGTACTTCCAGGACCTAGCACAATCCTTAGGACAGTAAATACTCAGGAAACTTTGCAGAGAACAGGAAGGGAGGCAAGGGCATGATCAGTGCTGCCAGGCAATGAAGTCTTCCTCTGTCCATCTGTGGGCAGTCTTAGAATTTTCAAAGCTGATTGCTCGGGACCAAGCAGCCACACAGGCATCTACTTTCCACCTAAATTCCCACTTTCAGGGAAACTCGTCACTAAGGGTATGATGCTAGGGCCCTCCCTCCCGGACAGAAGGTGGCCAAAATGGGTGTCCTTCGGAAACACTTTATGACACATGAAAATCCACCATGATTCAAAAACTTATCTGTGGAAGCCTGGGAGGACGGTAGTTTCGGATGGTGCAGGCGCCTGATGCCTATGCAATCACAACACGAGTGCCCTGATTGTCAACAGCCAAGTGTCAGTATGCGAGCACACATGTGTGTACACCTGTACACATGCATGTGTGGCTGAGTTTGGAGGGAGAAGACAGAAAATACTGACAAGGATTATTAAATACATTTAAGTAGCTATTTATCACAATAATCATCCAAGGGCTAGCTTAGAACCCAAAATGTATCCTTCTGATAAATTCATAGAGAACAATTGCTTTCCTGTTTGGTGTATCTGTGCCTCTGGTCTTACAATTCATAATTCAACTATTTGAGGGGCAATAAGTCATAATTAATATTCACCTCGCCCTGGCTCTCACACAGTAGCAATGTTTGGGAAAACAAGCATAAAGGTGAAGGCCGCCGGGCTCGGTGGCTCAGCCTGTAATCCTGCGCTTTGGGAGGCTGAGGTGAGTGGATTGCCTGACCCCGCGGGTTTGAGACCTGCCTGGGCAACTTGGCGAGACCTCATCTCCACAATAAAAAAAAAAAAAAAAATTAGCCGGGCATGGTCGCACACGCCCGTAGTTCCAGCTACTTGGAAGGCTGAGGTGGAAGGATCGCCGGAGCCCAGCAGGTCAAGGCTGTGGTGGCCGGCAGCGCCACTGGACTCCAGTCTGGGTGACAAAGTGAGACTCCAACTCAAAAAAAAAAAAAGGTAAAGGCCAGCTCTCTGAACAAATGGCTCTTTATTTATATTTTTTCCCTTTTTTTTTTTTGTTTACTATAAAGATGTGGGGTACAATTCAGGGTTAGGTATACAAACAATTATGCAGGTACCCTTGCTGATGAGATGTGCCCCTCCCTCCCCTAGCAGTTTCCCTCAACTGCCAATTCCCCACCCCTGACAGTTTCCCACTATTACCAATCCCTTTCTTATAGTATTATAATTGTTCAAACTTCCATATGACCCACCAGTTCCCCTATTGGGAATGTACCCAGAGGAACTCAAATCATTCTACAAAAAAAATACCTGCACACATATGTTTATTGCAGCTCTATTCACAATAGCAAAAACATGGAACCAACCATATTGTCCATCGAAGTTGGACTGGATAAAAAAAATGTGGTGCCTATACACAATGGAATATGACACAGCCATAAAGAAGGACAAAGACATGGACTACACAGATGGCTCTTTATAGCTCACGAGAACACCCGGGCCACCTATAGGTGTACACATTGTAACTACAGCCAGTTTTTCTCCCAAACACATTTCCATAAAACTCAATTTTTTAAAAATATCAAAAATAGAATGTACCTACTCGATTTTCTTTGCCCCTTTTCCTTTAGACTACATAAGGTCAATGTTTGAGAAGATCAAAATGATCTGATTTGCCAGGGCATGAAGTCGCACAACTGAAATATGGTTTATAAATGGACTTCTCTTTAGTACTTAAGCCATGAACCTGGTACAAACTATATGACAGGCAATTACTGACTAAGCCAGAAACTGACTAAGAAACAATTTCTGATTTAGTCAAAGTATTTGTGAGTGATATTAAGTACAATCCTTTTACTATAGTAGTATTAACAGCAGTGAGGAAAAAAAACCTGAGGTATCAGTAGACCAAAACCTTAGTCACTGCTGTGATAGGGCTGTCCAAAACTCTTATTTAAAAATGATCCTGTCAACCGGGCTCGGTGGCTCAGCCTGTAATCCCACGCCTTTGGGAGGCTGAGGTGAGTGGATTGCCTGAGCCTGCGGGTTCGAGACCTGCCTGGGCAGGCGAGACCTCATCTCTACAATAAAGCAAAAAATCAGCCGGGCATGGTAGCACGTGCCTGTAGTTCCAGCTACTTGGAAGGCTGAGGCGGAAGCATTGCCGGAGCCCAGCAGGTCGAGGCTGCGGTGGCCGGGAGCCGCCACTGCACTCCAGTCTGGGCAACAGAGTGAGACTCCAACTCAAAAAAAAAAAAAAAATGATCCTGTCAAGCTGCATCCTGTCTGGGGAGTTACAAAGATAGTTATAAGTATTCAAAACCTTGTCATATTAAAAAAAAGGATGAGGCCAGGTGCAGTGGTTCATACCTGTAATCCCAGCACTTTGGGAGGACAAGGCAAAAGGACTGCTTGAGCCCAGGAGTTCAAGACCAGCATAGGCAACATAGCGAGACCACATCTCTACAAAAAATTTAAAAAATTAGCTGGGTGTGGTGGTGTTTACCTATAGTCCCAGCTACTCAGAAGGCTGAGACAGGAGGATCACTGAGCCCAGGAGATTGAGGCTGTGGTAAACTGTGATTATGCCACTACATTCCATCCTGGGTGCCTGAATGCGACCTCTACTCAAAAAAAAAAAAAAAAAAGATGAGAAAACTAGGACCACTTTCAAGGAACTTAAGTAAATACATGACACAAGTGCCTGACTTTACACTAAACCAATACCAGTTAGGGTGGAGGGAAGTAGCAAATAACCTTTCCTTTTAATAAAGGGAAACATAGGCCGGGCATAGTGGCTCATGCCTATAATTCCAGCACTTTGGGAGGCCGAAGTGAGAGCCCGTGGGTTCGAGACCAACCTAGGCAACTTGGTGAGACCTCATCTCTACGATAAATCAAAAAATTAGCCGGGCATGGTGGCACATGCCTGTAGTTTCAGCTACTTGGAAGGCTGAAGTGGAAGGATTGCCTGAGCCCAGCAGGTCGAGGCTGCGGTGGCTGGGAGCATGCCACTGCCCTCCAGCCTAGATGACAGAATGAGATGCCAACTCAAAAAATAAAATAAATAAAGGGAAACGTAACTAAAGAAATGGGTCCCAGACAGATAATCAATGCTAAAAAGAAAAAAAGTGAAGCGAAACTGTGCCAGTAACTGGTTAATATGTCCCATGCAGAGACCAAATTGGTGAGTCAAGTTCTAGCCCAGGAATCCCCAACATCTGGGCCACAGACGGCACCAGCTGTGGCCTATTAAGAACTGGGTGGCACAGCAGGAGGTGAGTGGCAGGCAAGCCAGCGAAGTTTCCCCTGTACTTACAGCCCTCCCCATCACTTGCATTACCAGCTGAGCTCTGCCTTCTGTCAGATCAGAGGCAGCATTAGATTCTCAGAGGAGCATGAACCATATTGTCAACTGCACATGCAAGGGACCTAGTTGCACTCCTTATGAGAATCTAATGCCTGATGATCTGAGGAGGAGCTGATGCAGTGATGCTACCACTGCAAATACAGGTTAACATTAGCAGTGAGGTCTGAATGCACATTCCTTCTGCCCCTGGTCCACAAAACTGTTCCCTGATGCCAAAAATGTTGAGGACTGCTGTTCTAGATGGGAGTTTTTGTTTTGTTTATCAGTTGGAGTCTCACTCTATCACCCAAGTTGAAGTGCAGTGACAAGCTCACAGCCACTGCAGCCTCGACCTATTGGGCTCAGAAGATACTTCCACCTCAGCCTTCCAAGTAGCAGGAACCAAAGGCACATGCCACCATGCCTGGCTAATTTTTCTTGATTTATTGTAGAGATAAGGTCTCACCATGTTGCCCAGGCTGGTCTCGAACCTGTGGGTGCAGGCAATCCTCTCACCTCGGCCTCCCAAAGTACTGGGACTATAGGCGTGAGCCACTGTGCCCAGCCAATAAAAGTCTTTTTAAGCCACTAATGTTTTATTATAGATGGGTCTTTAATTTCACATTTATAGATGAACCAGTTTACCAAAATTCTTTTTTTTTTGCTACAAAGCTCTAATCTTAGAAATCCTCATAGATCATTTTTAAAATAAGCTTCAATGCAATGTATATCAAATAATAAATAACTTCCCTTGGTCCTTAAATTACTCAAAATGGGTAAACTAAACATCATGTAAAAATATGTTCATGTTTCTGTATCTTCCTGCTACCCACATCTCATCCTATGGTAGACAGCTCTGACAATAAAGACATCATAGAAAATATTATGTAAGCTTTATTTTCATTGATATTTCATTTAACATAATTTCAAAGGTCTTGGCTCTAGGATGAGCAAAAGAACAGATATTCTAAATCTCTTAAGAGATTTTCTTTACTCTGCTCCTCTGAGAAGGGCATGGGACTTCAGGACCCCCAATGTTGACACCTAATGTTTTACCCTTGAGATTTTACCTACAGATACAGAAAGAGGAGATGACATTAATATACAAGAATCAAACTGTATGAGAGTAACATTGAACTCATGTGTTTTATACTTATCACCTCTGTAGAGTTGTAATGGTAATGACTGATTTTCCCCCCGCCAAGTTTCAGCTTTCTTTTTTTAAAAAGAGTAAAATGCCAGAATATGTTAAAATGCTGCACTTATTTCTCTTAATACATTGAAAACAGTGTAAGTTAGGAGATTTTCATTCTTCATGAGTCCAAGCTGGGATATGATTACTGATGGGGTCTATTCAGCATACTAATTCCAACTTTGGCAACCATCAGCAAACTGTTCAAAAGAAACACAAACAAAAAAATGTTTAAGGAAAGGGACAGAGCAGGTGACTATTTTTTTAAGGGACTTGGATTCTGCAGGTCCCTCACAACTGCATGGGGAGGAAGGAACTAAGACAGAGCAGTCAGAGACAACACTTCCATGACTAGAGAAACCAAAGAAAAACCATGCCAGGGGGCAGTCCTGAGGTCTTAAAATAGCTCATGCAGACAAAATGTCTGAGCTGGAGTTTCTAATCCAACTGCCAATAATTTGAAGATATGAAGAAAATGCAGGCAAGAGAGATCAAGGCCTTCCCACAGACATAGAACTAATTAATGGCAGATCTGCAGCCTCCTGGTTTATTGGTCTTGACCTTGGCCTCCACTGACTCTTTTGCTTCAGGTACAAAACATTATGCTTGACAGCATCATAACTGTGATCAAAGTCAAGTACATGGTCTTTTTCCTGAAAAAGATTTTAAAAATTCCTCTGCCTTCAGGGTGTCATTATTACACTTACAAACTAAATTTTTTTTAAATGTAATGACCACTTGTATACCTAATCCTGAATTGTAACCCACATCTTTCAAATAAAATAAAATGGTTTGGGTTTTATAATCAAAGTTAATTAGAAAACAGGATTCAATCAAAATTCCACTCTAGCCGGGCTAGGTGGCTCAGCCTGTAACACCATGCCTTTGAGAGGCTGAGGTGAGTGGATTGCCTGAGCCCGCAGGTTCGAACCCACCTGGGCAACTTGGCGAGTCCTCATCTCTACAATAAATCAAAAAATTAGCCAGGTGTGTTAGTGCATGCCTGTAGTTCCAGCTACTGGAAGGCTGAGGCGGAAGGATACCTGGAGCCCAGCAGGTCGAGGCTGCAGTGGCCACTCTGGCCACTGCACTCCAGTCTGGGTGACAGAGTGAGACTCCAACTCAAAAAAAAACAAACAAAAAAAACACCAACATTCTACTCTAGCCAAACTTCCAATAACAAAAGACACCTAGACAAGAACGATGGAAACCTGGCTGCAAACACAAAATGCTAGTCATGGCTTTGCACTAAACTTCTGCCACTGCAGGGAGGAGTCATGATGGACCAGAACATAATGAGAACAAAATCACATCCACAGTGAATGGATAGACTTGTGCCATTTTCATATTAAATCAGCGACTGTTTTTGTAGTCTTCCTTATTCGTGTATAATTTTTTTTTTTTTTTTAGTTGAAATCTCATTCTGTCATCCAGGCTGAAGTGTAGTGGCTTGTTCCCAGCCACTGCAGTGTCAACCTGTTGGACTCAGGTTATCTTTCCATCTCAGCCTTCTAAGTAGCTGAAACTACAGGCACGCGCCACCACACCAGGCTAATTTTTTGATTTATTGGAGAGATGGGGTCTCGCCAAGTTGCCCAGGCTTGTCTGGAACCTGTGGGCTCTGGCAATCCTCTCACCTCGGCCTCCCAAAGTGCTGGAATTATAGGCATGAGCCACCGTGCCCGGCCTATTTATGCATAAATTAAACCAGTCAGTTGAGGGCTAGCATCAGGTATGCTAAAACAAGTAAATTTTTAAATCTTGGGCAATAAACTAAGCTTTACACTGGTAAAGAAGAAGAACAGAATGGAAAGTACCTGGCGCCTGCAATTAAACCCGCAGGCATAAATTTTCCAGAGTGGTAGAATCGCATTCCCATAATGCCAGCCAAGGTCCCAGATGTAGCTGATGAAAAGATAAAGAGAAGGATAAAAAATCATGGCATCATCTACGCACCAAAGGTGAGAAGAGTTCTGCCTAGCTCTCAAGGCTAGACCCATCCTATATTTACTCCTCCTTCCCCAGGTGAGGGAGCTTCCTGCCTGCCCACAACATATGGCCCCGAGTACAAATATGAGACAAACTGCAGGAAAGCTAGAGATTATGCAGGGATACTAATTAAGAAACTTCCGCCGGGCTCGGTGGCTCAGCCTGTAATCCCGCGCCTTTGGGAGGCTGAGGTCAGTGGATTGCCTGAGCCCGCGGGTTCGAGACCCGCCTGCGCATCAAGACTTCATCTCTACAATAAATAAAAAAATCAGCTGGGCATGGTAGCGTATGCCTGTAATTCTGGCTACTTGGAAGGCTGAGACGGAAGGATCGCCGGAGCCCAGCAGGTCGAGGCTGCGGTGGCCGGAAGCGGCCACTGCACTCCAGTCTGGGCGACCGAGTGAGACTCCAACTCAAAAAAAAAAAAGAAACTTCCTTGGGAACTGGGGGGTAACTGGGACCAGGATGGCAGCTGTGGGAATGAAGAGGACAGCTCCGGATACATGTGTTGGAGCTAGTGCTAAAGGATTTGCTGTGGAATTAGAAAGGCTGGGGAAGAGAGCAGTCACATTCTGAATAGCTTGAAGACCGATATGTGAGATCATAAGGTCAGATCTGGGCAGATGCCTTGAGGCATCTAAAAAAATCTCAAGTGGCAACTATAAACAGAGAATACAGCTTGGAGAGAGAAATCTGGGTCATTTGTATAAGGGTGGGAATTAAAGGCATGGGCTTCAATGACACTGTCAAGTGAGAGTATAAAGAAGATTTTTAAAAAGCCACACCTGAAGAACTTCAGTACTTAATGGTCAGAAAGAAAAAAGGGTCCACAAAGAAAATGAGGTTAAAAGGAAAATCAGGAAAATGGAAAATGATTGGCCAACTGTGCTGAGAACTAATGGGCCAAGTAAAATGAGGACTGAAAAACGTACACTGGATTATTATATATATATATTTTTGAGTTGGAGTCTCACTCTGTCGCCCAGGCTGGAGTGCAGTGGCACACTTACGGCTACCCCACTGTCGACCTGCTGAGCTCCAGCAATCCTTCCACCTCAGCATTCCAAGAAGCTGGAACTACAGGCACACGCTACCACGCCCAACTAATTTTTGATTTATTGTAGAGATGAGGTCTTGCCAAGTTGCCTGGGCTGGTTCTGAACCCACAGGCGTAGGCAATCCACTCACCTCAGCCTCTCAAAGTGCTGGGATTACAGACTGAGCCACTGAGCCTGGCCTGTACACTGGATTTTATAAACAGGTCACCGGCATACTTGAGAAGAGCCATTTCCACAGACAATGGGACAGAAATGGAGACTGAAGCAGGTCCGTCATGAGAGGAGAAGAAATAGAGACAGAGAACATAAAAGATTTTTTTTCAGTTGGGGTCTCACTCTGTTGCCCAGGCTGGAGTGCAGTGCTACGATCATGCTCATAGTAACCTCCAGCTCCTGGGTTCAGGTGATCCTTCCACCTCAGTCTCTCGAGTAGCTGGGACTATAGGCGCACGCCACCCTGCCCAACTAATTTTTTGATATTTTGTAAAGACAAAGTCTCACTATGCTGCCCAGACTGGTCTCAAATTCCTGGGCTCAAGCAATCCTTTTGCCTCAGCCTCCCAAAGTGCTGGGCTTACAGGCATGAGCCCCCTCGCATAGTTTCTGAAGGGAAGTTTCTTTCCCTTAAGAAGTTTCTGAAGGGAAAGAAAGGCAAGCAACTAAAGAAGGAAGTGGGGTCATGGGACATCCTTTTTTAAAAAAAACGGGTCAGATGAGCACATTTCAACATCAACAAGAGGGATTCAGTAAAGAGGGGAATAAAAATAAAAGGTGGGATCACCAATAGTGTGAAGCTCCAGAGAAGGTGGGAGAGAAGAGACCCTAAGCTCAGGTGAAGAGACTGGCGTTGGAGAGGAGGGAAACAGGACAAGGGAAGGCTTGGAGATTGATGGCTTGAAGGAGTCCCCACCTAAAAGCTGCTGTTTTCCTAAGTAGGCATGAGGTCATTTGCTGAGAGTAGAAGAGTAGGATCAGAGACGGACAAAAGCAGGCTGAAAGTCATTCTGGAGCATGAGCGAGGGAGCCACTGGCAGAGCTGAGACCTGGGTCCCTCGTCCTTCCCCAGCACACCCCATCAGTCACCAATAGCCTCCCTTCCCACCTTCTGTTAACACGGTGCTTCTCCCTCCAACACAGCATTCGTTCTCATGCTGTGGGGTTTGTGGAGACAGTAAGTAACCCACACTCACAACAGTGTCTGACACATGGGTGGAGCCCCACAGAAGTGTGCAGAAGCCACCCTGATAAGAAGGGATCTTTCCATCCCTTATACCCCTCACTGTTCCTGCTGCTCAGGGGGCACTTTATGTCTATGTCCTAAGTTGAAAGCTTCTTGGAGGCATGGCCTATGTCTGAAACATTTTGCTGATGGCTAAAGCATAAGTGATTTTCAAGTAGGAAGAGCATAGTACTGAAGCAAGCCTAACCTATCTGAGTGATCTCCAGGCAACCTCAATGGTTACCAGACAAACACCTGTCTGATACAAGTTTCACACTCATTTTACTGGGTAAATTAATTCATGAGGCAAGAAACCTTTCCAAATTCTGTGCACAACAGACAAACAAGGGCAAACATAATCTTCCCTACTCTCAAACTTCTCTAGGACTTGGCAGAAGCAGTGAAGCCGTCATAGACTGTGAAGAACCTGCCACATCCCACCAAACCAGGGCCTTTTGGTAGAGTAGTTTGGATATATAACTGCCTTCAAGAGACACTGAAGCACACTTACCTAGGAAAACCCAAACGTTCCTCGGATCCTGAGACAGCTGATAAGCACCCAGGCCTGCTAAACCACCAAAGAGTAGCCCAGCAGCCAGGGATGGCACACTACCTAGAGGGAGACAAACACACACCCCATGGCAACGTCAGACTCTTACTTCACGAAAAAGACACCAGACTCCCTTTTCCTAAAAAGGAAGATAGCAATGATAACTTCTTTCAGTACATCTCATAGCCAAGGCATGCTCAAGCAGGAACGAGTTTTGGGAAGGATACTATCTTATCAAAGGAGTCACGGTATTCCCACCCCAGGGTCAGACAGTTAAAAAATATTTGGAGAATAAGAATTCTGATGTGTGTGCTGGGGTGGAGAGGCAGGAAGGACTGGGGAGTAGAAACAAGCACATTTACTCACATACCTCTACCTAGCCTAATGAGGAGACTTCAATATGAGTCTTTGAAGACTAGAGGTAGCCCTTTGGGGTCATGACTGATGCATGGTAGTCAACGATAATAACAATCTACAACCACCCCTGCTTATCTTAAGATAAAGAGGCAAAAACAAGTCATCCAACAAGAAGCCTGACTCAGCTCAGCCAGATAACCAAAAGGCATGTGCAGGAGGAGCTATAAGACTGACACTGAAGCCTGCACTCATGCTCAGGAGCCAAAAGCAAACTTGAATGAATTAAGATCGCTCTTCAGGGACCCTGGGGACTTACTTTTCACTGGAACAACGTGAAGGTGTTAAGAGGCTAAATAACTATAATACCATACCTGCTTTTACATAGCCAATGATTCCACCAGATGCAACCAGGGCTGCGTAGCTAAAGCCAAACCAATGCAAAGGCACTCTGAAAACACAAGAGTGAGAAATCAGAGCCAACCATGTTTTAAAAACAAACCACATCACCATGGGATGGAACTAAAAGGTCATCATTCTTGACATATCCTATCATTGTACAAATGAAAGTAAAGCCTACAGAGGATGGATGACTTGCCCAGCGTCACACAACTAGTCGGTAGCAGAGATGGAACTCAAGACCAGGTTCTCTAGCTAGAATGTCCAGTGGCCCTCCCATCCCTCATGCTGCCCCAGGCATTCTACTACTTAGAGTTCTTTTCAGCTAGAGAAAGAAACTCTAGTTCTTTCTTTTTCTTTTTTTTTTTGGGTCGGAGTCTCACTCTGCTGCCCAGGCTAGAGTGCAATGGCATGGTCATGGCCACCATCTCGGCCTTCTAAGTAGCTGGAATTACAGGTATGCGCCACCACGCCTGGCTAATTTTTTGATTTACTATAGATACCAGGTTTCACCAAGTTGCCCAGGCTGGTCTCAAACCCCTGGATTCAAGCAATCCTCTCTTGCCTCCGCCTCCCAAAGTGCTAGGATTACAGGCATGAGTCACTGCACCTGGCCCAGAACTCTGGTTTCAAGAAGCTCCTAGCTATTACATACCCAATGAGTAGGCACTTACATTGGGCTGGGGTCCTTCTGCATTGTTCTTACTCTGTCCACACAGGAGACTATACCAGGCCTGCACCTGAGGAGGACAGAATGGATCAGAGGTGGTTTTAAAAGCACCGTCCAGCGGTCAAAAAAAGTGAGTATGAATTCTAGCTCTAGCCCTTAGTAGCTAAGAAGTAACTGGCAAGCTACCCAACCTCTCTAAGCTGCAGTAGCCTTCATTGTAGCATGAGGATAGCAATTTCCTGGAGTGGTTGTGAGCATTCACTGGGAATAGTATGCAAAAGCACTCAAAATATACTAAATGTCTGTGTTATCTGTACAGTAACAATATTTTTTTTGAATTGGTGTCTCATTCTGTCACCCAGGCTGGAGTGCGGTGGCATGCTCACAGCCACCGCAGCCACGACCTGCTGGGTTCAGGCAATCCTTCCGGCTCAGGTGATCCTTCCGCCTCAGCCTTTCAAGTAGCCTTCCAACTACAGAGAAGCACTACCACGCCCAGTTTAGTTTTTGATTTATCATAGGGATGAGGTCTCACCAAGTTACCCAGGCTGGTCTGGAACCCGTGGGCTCAGGCAATCCTCTCACCTCAACCTCCCAAAGTGCTGGGGTTATAGTCTTGAGCTACCGCGCCCGGCCTAACAATTATTTTTTTTTTTTTTTGAGTTGGAGTTCACTCTGTCGTCCAGACTGGAGTGCAGTGGCCGCTCCCGGCCACCGCAGCCTCGACCT